CCCCCCCCCCCCCCCCCCCCCCGGCAAACGTGAACAACAATGACATTTGCATTCACGAGACTATCTTGGTCAATCTTTATTTGGCATTACGCCGAATGTCCACCAAGCCCGGTCACCAGGGCCCGCCCCGCTACCATCGCATGGCTGAAGGGAGCGCCCATACTCGCGGCGGTTATCACATTGACGACTAGTTCCGAGTGTGGCAGACGGTTGCCTTCTTTTTGTATAGAAGGCAGGGCAAGGTCGCCCTAGGCTCGTCGCGTTCGATCAGGGGTGGCAGAGCTGCACTCGACGGGCCGAAGGTGTTACCAACCGCGGTGGATACCAGTCTTGCGCCTCACTTACCACGGGTAAAATGCACGACCAACTGCCGCATAACCAACTCGTAAGCTAGGCTATGGGGTTGTAGGATATCGTTAGGCAGGGCCGCATTGTTTAGTAACCGCAGTTTGCCCCCAGCGAGGTGGATCTTGAGAAATTCGGGTACATTGGTCAAATAGCGGCGAAAATTTACGCACGGTACGCGTTCGCAACTTCGCAAACGCTTTAGTCTAATATCGCCGACGGTATACTATCTTACTCTAGGCTTGCGAATGTAGATTTTGGCCCCGACCCCGCGTTGCGTCTTGACATGCACTGTCTCGACGTGTGCATCAAGCGGCTCTCTCAACAGTGGGAGACGCCACGACTCGTTACGACAAAGGTGGATAACAATGATTTCCCTCTATTCTACCCAAAGGATGACGCAACGAGCCGTTACATTGCGGAGGCGACCAGCGTGGTTGACCGCGTCGCGCAACTGTCCCAGGACGTCCGGGTCCCCTAGACTCCTGTGGGAATCAACTGCACTGGGCCTGATCAACCTGTGGCATGCCAGCAATACAGAGAATTATCTGGAGGGCACATCAATCACAGCAGCCCTGCACTGGATGTTCGAGGGGAAGATGGAGAAGTTGATCTAAGGCCAAATTTGGTACATGAGACGTTCCTCAAAAAACGATGAGAGAAGCCCGAGAAAGAATCATGTTATTTCATCTGATTATATCGCTTCCCTCATCATTCTTTCATCCCATGTCTCAGTTCAAAACTACTTTTTCATCTATTCCCTTGAGATAAATCTGTGGACAGGACGAATTAATAGATCACCTTTTCGGAAACTTCTTGACCCCTTTATTTATTGATTTTTCGAAAAGTCAAAAAAGGAATTGCTCCTTCTCTCCATCGGTTCCGGAACGCTCTGCACTAGACTGTTGCAGGTCTCGAGAAGAACATTATGACATAGATATCCGGGATAGCACCAGAAAGACAATGGCATGGGGAGTTGTCGTCTGAGGGATTGTCTGAGGAATCCATTTCGCCGTAATCGGTGCTTGTCTGTTTCGATCTCTCTTCGGCAACTGTGACGGCCACGTTACTATGCTCTCGACGAGTATGGTCGATCCATTGCCCTATGCTGTTGAAATGGGCATCGCAAGTCGGACATCTGAAGTAGGCTGATATGTCTTCTTGATGCGGCGACATCCACAGGTTCAAATCGAGCAGAAGCATAGTAAACCTTATTGTCGGGGGTCGGGGTGTGATACCAGTAGTAGTACTTTTACTGGCCCATCTAGACATCCCCAAAGACATGGACTTGTCCATCCGCCAAAGGGAGTTTGTACAGGTACCGTACGTAGGAGAGCAAGAATCTTCGGCCAATAGTCGGTACTACTGAAGCCCATTGCCGTGTTGGTAGCGAAACTGTCGATTGTGATGGTACACTTTGACAGGTCGAAATCGTTGACAGGGTCGAAAGCCCATTGCGGTGTTGGTGGTGTAACTGCCTTGTGATGGTGCAATTGGCGTGTGCCTGGTGCGGTGTTGGTTGTCGTTGCCCTGAGGTCGCTCTGGTCGTGGCCACTGTCCAAGTGCGTCTATGGGCATCAATTCGTGGCAAAAGTTGCGACCGATGATGGGAGCCTCATGGCCCTCGTCAAAACCATTCAGCTGGAAGCCCGCAGGCAGGATTCTCCCATTGTCAACCTGTGGATGCAGTGTCAAGACCCAAACGAGTTTGTCATTCTGTGAAACATGGCGCACCAGTGTGGGCAGGGTAGGTAGTGAACGTTCGTTTCACTCCATCTTCAAGACAGTACGGGCAAACAAACACTCCGTTCTGCTTTTGTCCCCACTTCCTTTTCCAAACAGCTTCGCCGGTGTGTCCCGTCTTCATGTGGACTTCCAGCTTCGCTCTTGTTGGCCACACCTTTGATCTGGCCTTGAGGTCCGCGGTGTCATCGGTCTGACACAACGGACAAGTTACCGACGAGTTCTTGAAATCGGTTTTTGTTGAAAGGGAGTTTTCGAGCAACGACCCCATGAGAGTTTTGGCCACAGTTGTCGTGGCCAGCGTCGCCCTCCACAAGACGCAGACGAATTTCCGGGAGCTGGAGTAGACTGACAGAACGCCAGAGACTTATTTGATGGGGTGGCCATTTTCAACCAAACTCTCCAGGTGGCGGGGGGAGGTCAAGGCCAAATGCATCTGGACAGACGCATTAGCACTGACCTCTCAACCTTCCGTTTCAAGGGAACTCTTGTTCCATCACTCAATTCCGAGCCATGTGATGACCCTTCAGCACCACCACTCACCCCTTCTATAACTGTGAGGTATCAGAGAGCAAATCTCACAGTCAAAGTCTACCAGGGTGTCAAGGAGTTGTCCCATGACTGGAATGGGATTGTGTGGTTGACTAGGCAGACGAGCATTAATTAGTCAGGTCGTTTAGTCAGATTGGTACTCGAGGACAGTTCTCTGTAAGAATGTACTCGTCAGACTTGGGCTTCTCCCATTTCCCATATCGAGTTCACCGAGTCCTCAAAGTACACCACAAGTCGATAGCCAGGCCCTCGAGTGGTCACGCATGAGCAGCAAAACAACGACCGCTCGAACAAATGAATTGCGATCCTTCTAGTGTGAGATCACACGGCTTTCCGTAACCATCTGCCTATTGTTCTTATTCGGTGTAAAACAGATGACACCGAGTAGAGTGTTTCAGTGCCTGCTGCTCACTCTCTTACCAACATGCCGGGACCAATCACAGCTGTCAAGCAACGTCAGTTGTTGAAAAGTAAAATGCACAATAGGAATACCGAGTATCTTCTTTACTTCTATTGTTCTTTTGTCTTGAATAGCTTCTTGCTGTGGTCTGAGGTCTTTTCTTCTGGCAAGTTAAAAGGGAGTGTTTCTGTCCCGGAGTGAAATTCTTTTCCCTTCTTTTTTTCTCCTTCGCTATCAGCAACCTTCGATCACTCAGGTAAGAGCCTCATTTCTCAGTTTAGTTCACTACTCCCATCCAGATTCCCCCTGAAAAATTGTCACTGGGACATCCACTGTTGCCGCTTCTCTTGAACTTTCCTCTGCACCTGCATTCTTATAGAGGTAACTTCAACTGTCTGATCCTGAACACGCCCTTCACATCTTTTGCATCTGCAGTCATCAGATTCCACCTTGCACCTTCAGTCATACACCTTATCCAGCGTTCACATGGTTTGGTTTTGTTGGGCCCTCTGTTACAACGCTGGTCACATATAAGACCCCAGCCGTCGTCTTCATCTCAAGCTCCAGCCCAGTGGCCAGCTAGAAGTAATGACAGAGCAGCTCATATTACCCGCCACGAAGAACGGGTAATTCATAACCTGCCATTCCTGCTATCCTTGTAACTGCTATCGTTCTCATGTACCTCCTTATCACCAAGCACCTCCATGAAAACCCACAAGAGACATCTCTGTAGTTCATTTGAATGTAGAAAGGATTATGCCCTGCCATCATTACTGTCCTAGCTGCCTCATTTGAAATTATTCGAAGACACCGCCTGTAACAGTCAACCCTTCGTTGCGATGAGCGCCCAGTGGCGTTGCATGACCCTATCCGTGCGGATGTTTCGTAAATCATGGGAGTGTTTCGACTTCACATAAATCACAGCGGACATGTTGCGTAGTCTGCTTTGCCCCTTCCAACTTGGAGACAATCGTTCCAGATGGTGTGGGCAGTCGATTGAGATGACACTGTCAAAGTTGACCTCATTCTCATCTCCACCACCAGCCAGTGGCCTGGTACAACCCACTGAGAGGGGCCTACATCACCCATCAGTAATTCCAATGGAAGCGGACTCCTTGATCACTTTCCACGGCCGTTAAAGTTGACGTCGCTTTCATCTCAAACCCCAGCCATTGGCAAGTGAGGAGTTATTGGCATCTCATCTGGGAGAGCCCTCGTCACTCACCAGTAATCCCAATTGAAGGGTTCACGAACGTCGTTTGCATTGGAACCGTCCCATTTCATCCCAACGCCATCAAAAGCTGATCCAATCGGCAAATCACCTAACCCAGCCAGTTACCCCCCGATATCAAGGTCCCAAACTTGCTCTCCCTACTCTGTGTTGGTTCTCACCACAACGCAAACGGTCCCGCCCTTGCCCTGGTTAGCCACTGATCCTCACCGGCGGAGAGCCTCCTCTTCCTCGAATACTTAAGGCAGCCTGCGTTACTGTTACCCTTCCTTTTCCTTCTTCCTTCCCTTCTACGCAGTAGGGCAGTCCAACAATTTATCAACATCACCCATCAAAGTATCACCTACCACTACCCAATCACCTGGAGGGCAGTGATCGGAATTCCAGAGGCCAGTGATACGTCCCGTTCTAGCTTTCAGTCCCTTCACTCGTCCTCTCCAGCCGGCCAGCCTCCAATGGGGCGTAGACGGAGAGCCTCTCCTCCTTCGGATACTTAAAAGGCACCCTTCCCTCCTCTTCTTCCTTCAACGGAGCAGGCAGTCAAGCAAATCTGGCCTCGTGACTGACATTACCACCACCTACCTAGATATCGTCAAGAACCACTACTACGTCAGCTCGAACGCAGTAGGTAGAACTCCTGCCCTCAGCTCATCCTCTGTTTGAAAGCCACCTACCGACATCATCGTTTATCGACAACATCATCTTTCACACACGTTCCCTTCTGACCATTGCTGACTGCGGAATTAGAACACAGTACCACTTGCCATCATCACCTCCAGCATTGCCGGTTATCAAACCACACCACGAAAAACTTTTCACGACGGCTATTACTTACTAGTAAAAGATCAGTCGACAGTACCTCCGCCCTAGTCAAGATGGCTGCCCCATCTCTATTTTCCTCTTCTCGCGCTGCTGCCAATCTCGCGTGGCTTGCCCCAGAGATTCAGCCCATGCCCATGCCTCTGGACACTTCCAGGCCCATCGACAACATGGTGACTACCAACTCCACGACTCACAACTCTCACCGCCCTGCCACTCCGGCAGACAAGCGCCCCGTCCACCCTGCTTCGGTCATCACCCCTCCTTGCTCTCCGCCCACCCCGACCCACCAGCGGAAGCTGGTGACCGTCCGGCGGGTGCAGAAGGTCGACATGGAAAGCCACAAAATTCACGACAAAGTGGTTATCGACGGCTGGACCGTTGCCGCCGCACGCCACTCCGTCCGCCAGGGTCAGCTTGCCATTTTCATCGAGCCCGATGCTCTCCTGCCTGCCGTGGATGAGCACTACTGGCAGTTCTCGCAGGCCGGGAACCGCACTTGGATCAAAGGCAAGGAGTATTTCCGCGTTGCCACAAAGTGTCTTGGTTCACCGAAGGATCCGAGGTCGCAGTGGGTTTCGCAGGGACTTGTCCTCAAGCTGGAGGACTTCCCGGAGATCAACGCTGATGTGATCCGGAAGGGTAGGCTGGCGATGTTTGAGAGAGAGCAGACTTCTCAACAATTAGTCGACTACTCGGACATGCTGGGCGTCACGAAGTGGGAGCCTCATGGCACCGCCGGTCCCAACGGAAATGGGACTGTTCTCGTCAAGATTCCGTCTTTCATCCAAAGAACCGACACTGAACGTGTCCAAAACTGCCTCAACCTTTTCACCAAGGAAAAGTACAAGCATATCATCTACCAGGAAACCATCAAGCTCGACGGCAGCAGCATGAGCGTCTACTTCATTCCCAAGACGTCCAAGTACTTTGGCAGCCTTCATCGACCTCATCCTGGATCAGAGGCCCAGACTGTTCTCAGCTCGGGTCGCTTTGGTGTCTGCAGCAAGACCATCGACTTGCCCTACTCCAAGGACTGCCCGTACTGGAAGGCAGCACTGGCAAACAACTTGCCAGCCATTCTCGAGGGCCTACACCAGAAGAAGAAAAATGGCACCATCGCCATCCAGGGCGAACTCGTTGGCCCTAGAATCAATGGCAACCATCACAACCTGCCGGAGAACTCCGATCCGGAGTTTCACGTCTTTTCGATCTGGGACATCCAGAACCTGAAACGCTGGGACCCCCGCGTTGTCAAGAATTTCTCCGATGCTCACAACCTCAAGCACGTCAAGGTGATGGGATACCACAAACTCCATGACATTGCCGAGAGTCACGAGGACCTGATCTCCTTGGCGGAGGTGAGGGGGGGTGAGGGCCTCGTGTTCAAGAGCTGCGTTGATGGTCGCTGGTTCAAGGTCTTGTCACCGCAGTGGATCGTTGAACAGGGTGATGAGAAGGATGCTCTGAAGGCGAACAAGTCGAAGACTGGAGGAGAGAAGAATAACATTTCGACCGGCAAGAAGAATGATGCCTCGAGCGGAAACAACGTCAAGACAACTGATATCCACGCTACCAGCTCGGGTCAAGTCAGGGAAGTGAAGGCCGAGACAAAGGGTTTTGGGCAGCAGCAAGCCAACGATTATGACAGCCGCGGCAAGGACAGACCCAACCATACAGAGGTTGAGTTGCGCGAAGCCGAGATTCAGGAGGAAAAGATGATGATGATCGAGAATTGGTTGGACAATGCTGCGCCTGACGATGCGAAGATGAAGGCCGAGGAGGCTTTGGTTACCGATCACATGAAACCCGAGGACACTGGCGAAGGAATGGCAGAGAAAGCTTTGATTACCAATGAACCCGAGAACACGAGTGAAGGAATGGCGGAGGAAGCTCTGGTTACCAATGAACCCGAGGACGTTGGCGAAGGAACAGGGGAGGAAGCTCTGGTTGCCGACAAAGCCGAGGACACTGGCAAAGAAACTTCCGAGTGCGTATCTATCCAAGACGTTGGAGAGAAGTCTGCCGAGAAGAAAGCTGGTAATCTCTCAGACACCCTTCCTCCAAAGGAGTTCGACAACGTGCAAGATTTTTTGGATGCCGCTGTTACTTGGCTCGGGCAACCGATGAGCCACAGAGAAGCTATCGAAGAGATCGGTCGCATCATCTTGACCGAAATGGCGATCAACAAAGAGAACATCCAAGCGTCCATGAAAGACTTGGCCGAGGTTGTACGGGATGAGCTGAAGTTTGTCACACCCGACGAGAGTGTCGCTCCAACCGTTCCCGACACTCCCAAGAGTCCTACCAGCCCGGACACTCCCACTACTCTCGATGCTCCGACTACTCCCCACGAAACCAACCCGGCAATGGAGCCGGTGATCGTTCCGGAGCTCGTGACAGGACCGGTGCAGCAAGATCTTATGGGCAACCCTACTCCCCCCGCCTCCGAACATACCGACGAGCAGAACGTGTTGGCCGGCGTCAACTGGGATGATTACAAGGTCATCAAGCGGGGAGGCCAGCTGGTGTGCATCAGACGGGAGGACTATGTGCCCAGAAGCCCGCCCTCGTTGTATCCGTCGGCTGAGGAGATGGCACGTCGCAGAGAAAAACGTCGCCGTTCTCGTCGTTAGAGGCCAAGAAAGAGGTCTTCCGAGGCAATTCAAGTTACCAGGTTATCGGAGCATGGAAATCGATAGTTGGGTGACTGGATGGATGTTCCCGGAGTTTAGGGGAGACTCGTCGAGAGTCGGTGAGTCGATGGCACCGTGAGGGGAGTTTGGTTTCAATCGCGTTCCTTTTTTCTGTTGTCGGGCTAGGTAGCATTGTTGTTGCAGGCAGAAGGAATATGATCCAGCGCAGGACTATGGGCGTTCGGTCACCAAAATATACCTAGAAGATGACTGAGGTGGTTAGGCAGTTATCAGATTACTGGTTTTCCCTTGAAGTTCATATTCTTCATATCGATCATAAACCCGTGATCTGAGCCTTGATCCAGTAGCCCTGTTGACAATCCATGAACTGTGCGACTGATGGATGACTGGCGAGTGTCACTGAGGGTGTGATGCTCAAACGCGTGCCGGTGGCACAACCGCAGTGCCGGAAACATGTGGTGACGATCTCATTGTCATTGGGTAACCAAGAGACACAGCATCGGTGGTGTAAGTCAAGATGGTTGAGCTCGACGCCAGAGCCTTGGCGACAATATTGTGAATCACGATGTCTAGTGAAGTGATGGAGTTGAAGCGTGGATGAGGGAGGACCTGACGAGCACGGGACCTCGACGTCGTCAAAAGAGGATCCCCTGCTCCACCAAACAGTAGGAGCTCAGACCACCGGCAGATCAAGCTGTGGGGCAGGCGGAGCTTCAAACGAAGAGCTGATCCACCCAGGTGGTCAAAGCTCCCTGTGGTGCCTGGCGCAGCTGAAACCCAATTCGGGTTAGGCTTCTAGATGCTAACTCAACGGACCAGTCACATCGTCCGAATCCCTTCCAGCGTCTCCCAGCCTCTGGAATTCACCCGTGGGCGGCCGGCCAGTGTCACTGTAACGCGAAGAGCATCCACTGATTTCAAAGTCTGGGTCACCATGTCCCTTCATCCATGTCCTGTTCCCCCCGTCCCAAGGTCCTCTTGGGCGCTTGTTCAGCTTCTCAACATTAAATAAAATATCTCGCGATTTTCATCTGGACACCGCTTGTTTTCTTCTTCCATCTCATCCACTCACTAGCTCACAATTCCATTTTGAAAAAGAACAAGCAACAGTTCGCTTGAGTCTCAGTTGACGACATAACCGACCCAAATATGCCACCCCCACCGCCCCCAGCGAACCGGACCATGTCTCCGCCAACCAGGCGGCCCGGTGATCGCGACCAACTGTATAACCCGCGTCAGTCTGATGCCAGCTTGCCATACCGGCCAGACAACGAGACGGTAACCATTCAGAAGCCCAATGGCTCTGAAACCACTCTCAAGCTTCCTCCATCCAGCCTTAAGGATCTACCGTACCGCCCCGCTCCCAATGGCACCTCGGATCCCAAGAGACGGCCATCCGACCCAGCCTACCGCCCCGGCGACCGTGATCGTGATCGTGAACCCCAACCACAACGCAGAGCCTCGTCCCCAGCACCAGGCGCCATTCCGCCAGCTCCAGTGTCTCCCACATCCAAGCCATCCTATGCCCCCGGTCACTCCCCTCCCGGCTCACGGAACCCTTCCCATGGCAACTACCCACCAGCAGGCTCCAATGGGCCCGGCGGCTTTCCCACCGGTGGCCGTCTCAAGACTCAGACTCCTCCCCTGGACCCTCTCGACCCACGCTCGCCTTCTTTCGTCCGTCGTCCACCTCCCGGCCCTGCTCCCATCAACGGCGGCATGAACGGCGACCATAACGGTTCTCTGAACGCCATTGGCGGTGGTAGCAACCGCCGTCCCGATGTAGTCGAAACCATGCCCGGCCCTGCGGCCTCGCTTCCTTCCAAGAAAGATGACCGCGACCGGTTTGATCGTGATGGGCGACCTCGGCCCAGCTCTGATTACACCCGCTACGGCTCCGAACGTCCTCCAAGCCCAGGATACACCAAACCGATCCGCCCGCCCCCTCCCCGCAACAGCAGCAGCACTGGAAACAGCGACTATGGAGTTCCCACCAGCAAACCGAATGGCAAGGTCCACCCCAACCCCAACCCAGGGGCAACCAATCCGACGACCCGTCCCTCCATCGGCCCGGGCCGCCACGGCTCCATCATTGAAATGATGCCCGGCCCCGCCGCTCACCCCACTCCTCCTGCTCTTGGTCACAACCACAGCCACGGCCACATCCATCCCTCTCTCGGCCTCACCAAGCCCAGCAAAAACACCGCAAAGCTCTCCGAACTCGAAGAGGGTCTACTGTACGGCGACACGGAGCGATACCCACCGCAAATGGAGCTGGGCGACTACCGGCAAGCAACCGAGTGTTCGTTGAGGGAGTACATGGCTTTGCAGCGCAAGCGGCGACAAATCAGTTACAAGATTGCGGCGGGAAACAGCGGCAAGGAGGCGGCACAGGTTGAGGAGAAGCTGAGACATCAGGCCAGCACGGCAATCGATGAGTTGATTGAGTTGCGCGGAAGGGTGGCGGAGATCGTGAGGAGGGGAGAGAAGGCGAGGTGGAGGAGATATTTGTGGAGTGGGGCTTTGTGAGTTTTTCCCTCCCTTCCCTTTTATTCGTCCTGTAGTTGTGAGCCGCTGCGCTCGGCCCTTTTTTTTTCTTTTCCTCGCTGCGCTCGATTTTCCCCTTCATTTTCCCGACCAAAGACTAACAAGGAGTCAAACAGCGCAATCTTCATCCCCTTGGTAAAATCCTTCTTCCGCCCCTCCTCCGTCGACAGAGGCGCGCACGCCCGCGAGCATCGCGGCGAGCGCTCCCACAACAGAACCGAATACGCCTTCCGCAAATCCAAGTCGTTGATCAACCGGATCCTTTCGCAAGCTCGGCGTCCCGGACTGGCCAGTTTGAGTTTCCTCGTCTTTGCCGTGTTGTACGTCTTCACGAACGAGGTGTCGCTGAGGGCGGCAAGGACGGTGAGCAGACGCCTGAAGAGGTTGACGGCCAAGGTGGAAAGGGGACGGGAGTTGGGCGAGGATGATTTTAGGGGGTTGAATGGGTGGAGGTGGGGAGTGCTGGAGTTGACTGCTTAATGGAGGGTTGGTCATGAGGGAGGAAATGGAGCTGGAGATGGAAAAGAGAGAGTAAAGATGAGGAATGATGGAGGAAGACATGATATCGATGATTAATGACTGGTGATGACGGAGTTGTTGGCAGGCGTCAGATGACTTTTTTCTTCTTTCTTTCTTGGGTTAATGACGAGGTTTTGGAGAGAAGGAGGAATAGGACGAGGAAGGGCAGATTGGGAAGAACCGACGGTTCGTTTTCTGGTGGCTGTTGTCCATGTTTGCTGTTTTCATACCCTCGCTTGTACCATTTCTGTGTTCTAACTGTATGTAGGAAGTAATGTTGAGGTAGATTGACATCCTGAACTCAGTCGGCTGCGATACAATGTAGATGGAAGAGTCTGACACTAACTCATTTGCTAATTGTCCCTACTTGATGCAAAAGTTCCCCGTTCGTCCCTTAAATCACGCGCATCACTAGGTGAGTAAACAGTTTGTGGCATTTTAGTTTGCCTTTTTGACTCACAAACCATCACTCACTCGCCATTTGCCAACATCCCAGTGGCATTGACACATACGTATTTAGGTCACCCCCTTATTCATTTATAAAATGCGAATATACCTCCCCACGATTCAATTCCGTTGCAGAATGAACAATCCTAGTGTAGTTGAAACTGGCCTCCACGATGGCCACCCCCAACTACACACCCGAGCAAATATCCGCCCTCCGAGCTCTGCGCGACCGCCTCCGCTCTGCACAGTATACCTGGGAAGTCCGGCAGCTGTTAAAGAATACAGCTAGCGCTACAGGAATTAAGCAACTACAGCTCGTACAATGGCAGGATGGGGATAACAATAGGAAAAACCTGCTGCATTTTTTGGTGGACGAAAGGCTTGAAAGTAGGTAAATTCCCTAGTTTCTGGACTTTCTGTTGCGAGATCAAGTGATGTCCAGTGGATGCGTGTAGTCAAGTGATAAATAATAGCTAAACCCAACAACTACTACAAAAACAACAGAAGTAGCCATCATCCTCATCGAAGTCTTCTGGAACCGGAAGGAAGAAGACCAGAGGCAGCTCATGCATATCATCACATACCCAAAGTGCTACATCGATAGTCCTGAAGGTAGTGGGGACTATACAGTTGAGCGTCTCGCGGAAGGACGAAACTGTGAGCAACTGGTGGACATAATAAGCCGGTTTCGTGAGCTGTGTCCTCAAGATACGGGCGAAGAAGATGAAGACGAAGAAGAAGAGACAGAAGAGGAGAGAGCAACGACAATAGAACGTATGAGACGTCTTCAACGACTAAGCACCCCTATACCTCGAACTCCTTCTCCGTCAAATGGTTCTCTTCCAACAGTTCCACTGGAACCCGCTAACTTTTCTCCACTGCATGTGTTTACCACAACAAAGAAGAAGAAGAAGAAAACTCCTCTGCATCCTCCTCGTGCTGCGCGACCAGTTAGTTCTAGTCCTCGCAGTACTCCTCCTCTAGCTAGAGGCGGTACCCCTGTAGAAATAACAATCTGGAGCTCTCCCCCTCCTCTTTCTCCTTCTCCTGCTGCAGCAACACAGACGCCTACTCTCCTGCGTGGTTCTTCTGGTGCTCATGACGATCAACCTCAACCTAGTACCCCGCCGCCTTTCATACCTTCTACTCCCCCTCCAGCCCCAGGGGCACGAGATACTCCACTTTGGTATCCGCCCTCGGATCACTCGGAGCACTCAGAGCACTCAGAGCCAGAGCCAGAGCCAGAACGGGATGAACAAAGAGTAAGAGAGGGTCAACGGATTCAGAGACACTCACCACTACCGCCGCCGGGCAGTTCTGTGCCTGTCTTGCCTGAACGGACACCTGAGCCTGTCACTCCGGTTCGTCTTCTAATACCTACCGTATTTCCTCTCTCTCCTTTATGGGACCCATGGGTTGATCAGACTAATTCGCTTGCGGTAAATGGTAGTCTAGAAACAGTAGGGGGAGATGGCGGTAGTCTTGAGGTATGTCAAGGATCCCTCTGCAAGGGTTATAAGCCCTGGCATAAACCTGGCGCTTGGAACACCGTAGGGACCGCTCGGTAGAGGTAGGGATTATGTGGGTTACGGTAGGGCAGTGAAATGGATCCCTGTAGTGTAGGTACAGGACTTGAGGAGCGTAGATGAACTGAAACCCGGGTACTGGGGAGTCAATATGTACGCAGAAGAAGAATGAAAGGTTCTGTAAAAAACGTAAAAGAGAGCCACTGAGTCCTTCCGTACAGGTGTGGATGATGAGTCTGGGTCTATGTGACACAATGGTCATTTGGAATCCGAGTCTTCAAGATCTGCGCTCCGAGACTCTGGCCGACCCCGGTCCTAGGTACCTTAGAGGTAGTGAGACCCGTCACAGCTTCTAGTGTATGCTGCGATGGATACCTAGGGTCTTTCTTGATGTATAACACTAACGGGGCATGTCCCTCAGGTCCGCGGCGTCGTACAATCCATTCAACCATGAGCTCCGTCGAGGTGTTACTTCCCTCTCAGTTCTGTTATTATACCTAGAGGTGGGTAGTTAGGTATCCAAGGCATCTGGCACTGGTGGATATCTCATACTGAAAATGTACATTATTTTATTATATATGGTCCTGTCCCGGATCTGGCAGTCGCATATTGCATTTCCGCACATCAACCGACCAAAGGACAGCGCTTTATGCGGTTTCTGTATAGAAACGGCCGTACAGACCCCTTTGTACGCAACTTTCGATAAAAAGGGCAGTCCCAATACATTCGACGGCGTACACAGAGGGCACGTACAGTGACAGACATTATATAGGAGATCCTGGCATTAACAAGTGTGCCCTTTTCACCAGCCCAGTAAGGCACGTAACATGGCGAGAAAAGAACAAGTGAAGGTAGAGGTATTAGGTGATGATGGAAAAGGGGGTGGGGGTGGGGGTACAGTTGGGAAGCCTAGAGGTAGGCAGATGATAGGGTTTTACTGAAAGGCGGGAAGTTCGCAGACGGGAAACGTGTCTGATACTGGAGTAGTAGGCGAAGCCTGCGCTGTGGTAGTTGTTGGCGCCGAGGATGAGGCCAAACTACCGTAGCACTGGACATATGTACCACTTGTCCCTGACTTCCGAAGCCGGGCCTCATTTTGGTTGCTAGCAGGCAAGTTATATGTCTCCGTCCAGTTAAAACTTGGTAGCTCGAAACGCGGCTGAGATGGCGCCTGGCTGACTTCAGACCGAAGCCGGGCTTCATTTTGGCTGCTGGTAGGCGAGTTATAGATCTCCGTCCAATTGATACTCGATAGCTCGGAAGATGGCCGATAAGGCGGCTGAGATGGCGCCTGAAAAACTTCGAGATTCTCGAGCTCACCTGGCCTAGTAGGTTGTTGGCGTCGCAATGCAGACGATTCATTTTCGCTCCCCGCGAGACTGAAGTAGCGACTAGCCGTTGAGGACGGGATTCGGGTCGGTATTGTGGAACGGTATTCAGAACCATACCCTGAAGGTGACCTAAGCCATAAGGTGGAGATGTTATCCACCCATTGCTGGACATCTCTTGGAGGCCGTGCTAGAGGCGCTGACCTACTTCGTCGTGGGACGACGACTCGATCTCGAATTTCGCGAACAGTTTTGTGCATCCGTTGTATTGTTCCTCTGATCTCGGTAGTGTCTCTTCTGATTTCCTGAGTATCGGAGCTACGTCCAGAAATTTGAGCGTCAGTTGGGTGTCGAATTTTATGGGAGGCATGGTAGGTAAATCCCAAGGGGATATTGACTTACAGAGAGAGTATGAGAAGGCTCAGGTTGAGAGATTGCTTGTGTACTTCCAAACTTTCGCACCAGTCCTCAACATGCCCCTTGCCGCACATGGCCCGTTTTGCCCTTGTCCATATGGCATCGTTCTTGAAAAGACTTATGTATTCGTTGATGCGAGTTACCAACAAGTCGCATTCCTTGATAGGACCTTCGATCTGCGCGAGTTGCTCACTGGGGAGAAGCCCCCTGGCCTGGCTTCCTATCAGATTTAGAGCCACAGTAAGCGGAGTGAGTAAGCCGGACAGAACTGCAAGCTCGGTGGTGACCCTGTCGAGATCGTTCCGTGCGTGTTTGGCCTGGCGAACGAATTGGGCTATCGAGACCGAGCATTTGATGATGCCCCCGGCGAGGGCGAATGCAGCGGAGGCGATAGAGACCGGGTCCATCTGCGCCTCCAGCAGCTTGTCTGATAGTTGACTGGCAAATGCACCTGGTTAGGATAGAAGCTGTGTGCTAAGAGATGTGCTGCGATGATGCTGTAGAGGCAGTCAGTCGATGGCGTCTTGGAACTCAAGTTCAGTTGAGGAATGTGTCGCTGTTCACTTGGCTTAGTGCAGATATAGCTGTTTGAAAAAGGATGTAGTTAGTGTTCGTAAAATGGGCAGCCTTGACAGGGGATGAAGACGGATTCATCGTTTCCCATTTGTCGGCTGTTATGGTCTATAGAACCCAACCAGACCGAGTAGTGATCACCGATAGTCTTGGCGTCATAAGGTTCTGTTGGCTCATCTATCATCTGGGTGACTCGCTGTGTCTCAAGTTGGTCGGGTGGGGTGTTCGGATTCCCTTTCTTCGGACCCCACAGGCGTAAGATACCTTGGCTCGTCCCTGACAAAATTGATGGCACCTGGGTCCAAGTTTGCACCCCAAAATGGGCGACCTTAACGCAGAAAGCAATCAACAAATAGATTTGTTAAACACCCTGGATCCTATAGGACTACACAGACTGTGAAGGCATCTTTATTAGGTATTAAATGCAATAACAATCGTTAATCTGTGTGGTATTTTGGCTGAGTTTAATTGTCTGAGTGGTGGACTTGGCTGCCATCAATTTTGTCAGGGACGAGCTTGGGTAGGTGTCACCCAAGACCTCAAGTGGTTGGTGACGCCTTCCAACTTTCCGTCCTTTTCACCAGTAAAATCCACGAACCACGCCCGTCGCTTAGCCTGATCTGTCACCGATGGGATGGCTGTATCGAACGAACACCCTTGGTTCGCCTTTTGGTGTGTTCCCAGCCCCGGGCGAATCCGATAACCCCTTGAAACTCTCATTCGCATGAGATAACGCTTAGAAAACGCCAACGACCGGTGGCCAGTATCATGTCTCAGCAATTCAGCCATGCGGTTCAGCTGCCGTGGGAACTTTAATTTTCCATCGGCGAAATAGACTAACACATTACTATTCGGGAATAGCTTCCGTGATGGTCAGAAGAATGACTCGATACCCCAGGTATTCCCGTAAAGATACATCAATTCAAGTCAATGTTCCTTGTAGAAAGCGCTCTGTAGACGATTTGTCAGATCTGAGCCCCAAAAAAGAAAAAAAAAAAAAAGCATTTTCAATGCCGCCCTGTTTAGGTTTGCTGGTGGTGATGTGAACATCACACGCCTAAACCCCTCTTACATCCCGCCCGCCAACCTCGGGGAGATCACCTGCGTCCACTCACGCTTTCCTTTTGTTTGTCTCTGCCTAGGAAAACGAGAGGGGCTTGGGTCTGCAGGTACCCTTCCTCATCTCTCCTGGATTTTGTCGGTTCCATCACTGGAAGACAGCTAGCTACTCGTCGAGGGAATATGCCTGTGATACTGTGGCGGCGGCAGTGATTGGATGTCCTTGTACAAGGCTTCTGGGACAATGGCAATCATTGCCATGCTTTTCCCTCTTTTTCGGCCAGAAAGACCGCCGACGGTGAGCTCGACTTTGCAAAGGCGACCGACCGACCGAACTCCTCCCGAGAGCTTCTTTGACACGCTACGTAGGTAGACAGCGAGGCATTAACATTTTCCCTTATTCAGTGGAGCTAGCCAGGGGATTGAGCTCCTACCTACTCACGGAGGTGGATATTGCAAAGACGGGCCGAGTTCTTGCCTGTCCGCTTTGGAAGAAGACTGACGGGACAAAAGACGTATACTCAAATCTTGTCTCCCAAACAGATGCGAATTCCCCACTGCGAAGATAATGCGTGTCCCGGTATGACTTGGTAAGTCTTTCATTCCATTTTAGCATTTCCTTGGACTCAAACATCACCTTGGTTCTTTGTTTCCGTTACAAATTCACTCCTGTGTGACCTATCGTGCATTTTAGTTGACTTGTTGACTTGACGTTGCCCTGCTTATAAACTCTGCGACTCTACAGCTGCGTATTCTCAAACCCCCGACTAAGACGTGGAGCAGAGTTGGGGAAACGACAGGACCTGACGCCCTCCCAAACGGGTATGTACGACTTAACGGACTGAGCAAGGCAGTGCAACCAGGCGTCCAAAACCGATGGCGGTCACGAGGTGACTAGGATTGATGAAGGCAGTCAGCGTCTCGCAGCCAGGGCTGAGTTGGCAGTGATGAATATCAATCGGGGCTCTCTACAATCCAATGCTGGTTTGATTGTTAGCTTGGTACACCAGGCACTCCTGCTGTACAATAAACATAGTGTACTAGACAAAATCTATTTCGAATAGTCCTAAAGGTTACATATATAAATCAAAAGGTATTAGTTGGATTTAATTTGACATTTTGAATGTTTGAGATGGCGTACCCAAAGTAAAATTATACATTAGTTAGCTATGAAAACGTATTGGAAAGTTGACACGAGGTCTCGAGCTAACAAACAAACCAGTACTGGACTGTATATCTTGCTGGAACATCCCAACCCACGGCTCGTCAATCAGCCGAACATGGGTCAAAATGTGCTCTGGTGGTTACTTGTACGCGTTGCCCGTTGGATTTTCCGATATTTCCTTTTACATCCTTTTGGACAGCCACTCGCAGTGTATGGTTGGGTCCACAGAGTCAATGACGTCACCTAGGTTCTAGAGGTACGCTTTTGGGTGTACCTGCCTGTTCCCAGTACCTTTCTTGAACTCACTCATAGGCCACCTCAGGTAGGTACGGATGTGCCCGGTACGAACCTCTACCTACCCGCCTTTATGCAGCGGGACTTACTTGTGCGCTTAATCCACTGCACCATTCATAATTTCTACATATTCTTCAATTGCTGAGAGTCGGGTGTTTGCAGTTTTCAAGCCCCATCGATTGCTTCTCGTATACATTCCGCTTGGACTGCCTTGTTGTCTACCTTGTTTGCACCTTCATCTACAGTTACATGCCAATGGCCAATCACACTCTCCGATAAATGTTTCGATACACATCGAGATGGCACAGAAAGACTCTCCGACGCGTCTCTTCACAACAACCAGCCACCAAGAGGTCAGCCCGCCGCCATTGAAACGAAGAAGACTGACACAAACACCAAGCCTAGCATTGGATAGCCCCCGTGCCTCGTCCACCCTTCAAACGGCCGGCCAATCCAGAAGGTCTTCTCCAAGCAAGGATGCGTTCCGTGTGTTTTCATGGAACATCAACGGCATCAATACCTTCCTGTCGTCCACTCCTTCCGCTCGAAAGATAACATCCTACTTCACAGAATCCACCAAGACGCAGAAGAGCGGGACCGCGAGTACTGATGCACCGCCAAACGCCAGTCGACTGCGCACACCTCCAGGACAAGCACCATCAGGCTCGCCACACTCGCTGCGAGCCTTTCTTGGCCGCCATAACTGGCCTGAAATTCTCTTCCTCCAAGAGCTCAAGATCAAGCCACAAGACGGACCGGTTCTTCTACCCAAAATACTCTCTGCTCTCAATGCCCCGCTCAATGCTGCCGACAGTGTGTCCGACAATTGTACCTACACTCTCAATGTAGTGCTTCCACGCGACAAGCATAATGCCAAAGCCTTCGGAGGAAGGTTATACGGTGTTGGAACAATAATGAGGACAGACTTTGCTCGCAAATGGGTTGCTACTGTGCGGGAGGTTGACTGGGATATCGAGGGAAGAGTCAGCGTTGTCGAGATGAGAGTGGCGCCGGAAGGGCAAGATGAGAATGGGCCAGCCACAAAACCTCTCGCTCTCCTTAATGTCTATGCCGTCAACGGCACAACGCAGCCGTACCGCAACCCCTTGACCGGCGCCATCCATCCCAACTGCCCGACTCGCCATGACCGAAAGCTCGTCTTCCATTCCCTACTCCGAGACGAGTGCCTTTCCCTGGAAGCACGCGGATTCTCTGTGGTCGTTGCAGGCGACGTAAACATAGCCAGAGGACCTGCTGATGGACACCCTAACCTACGAACCTTCCCAGAACAACATTGCCTTAACAGGGTGGATTTCAACACCAAGTTCTTCGGCGACGAAGACAACAAGCGAGCTGGGGCCTACGTTGGAACACAAGACGAGAAAAACGAAAAGTGTCTTGATGCCGTGGATGTGTTTCGGGCAAAATATGGCATGGAGAAAAGATACACATATTACCCCAACCGCGGGGAGTGGGGAAGCAGTTGCGATAGGGTCGATATGGTGTTTGTTTCCAAGGAGGTGTGGGATGACGGGCGTGTGATTGATACAGGAATACTCGATACGCCTCAGGAGCGTGGTCCGAGTGATCACGTACCGTTCTGGGTCAAGATCGCTTTGTGATGGCACTAGCTGAGGCACAGAGAGCCTGGTGTGAAGTCCCACTTATCCCTTGCTGTTTCCATTTTCTTATAATCTCTGACCATCCCCCTAGGAGGTTTTTGCGGCCGTACATCTGATTCTTACAAGCTCCCAGCCCTCGATTTTGGAACCCCTGAGTGCCAGACCCTTGAACCCCACAAGAGTAAACAAAGGTTGTCGAGATCCACAGCCACGCGAGTCAGAAAATGGAACCCTGAACAGCCCGCGCAGTCCCACATCAAATCCACACCATTTGATAAACCCTAAATCCTCGAACTATCTTCAACAAAGCGTGGAATTCCATACGGATCGGGTATGGTGTAGCGGTAACATCGTTGACTCTCATTTCTTCAGGAGTGACTGCTTTCTCAACAGCCCCGGGTTCGACTCCCGGTATCCGAGTGATAAAACGATTCAAGTGATCCGGTTCTCCGCGCTTTCTTTTTGTTTTTTCATCCCCAGATCCTTTCCCCCCTCCTTTCATTTCTTCACTTTTCTTGTTTCGCGATTTCTCGTTCTGCTTCTCGATTTACCTTTTTCCTGACTTCCATGATCCTCTACTTGAGTCGTGGACCATCCTATGGACTGCATCGTCACAGGTTAATGATGGTTTACAGTGTCGATGTTATCATGTGCACCACGTGTCAGTTAAAGTAGCTGGTCTTTTCATTCCCACGTCCTTTCATCATCTTATCTACATGAAGCTACCCTCGTTGATATCAAACAAAAATCACCACCGGCTTGCTTCCGCTTGGAAGCGACGGGGGTGCGGATATGGCTTATGCTCTCGAAAGACAAGGAAATTCCATTTCAGACCACTCCATGTCCTCATCAAATATATCCCTTCCACTAACCAACCAACCACCCAACCAACCTAAAAACCACCCTTCGGCATAGATTGCTACGTCGAGATAGATGAAAGGCAGCCCACCCTTTCCAACATCTTCAATATCCTCTCAAAACCTTTGCGCTCCGCCAACTCCCTGAACGACGTCGCCTCGCCATGAATATAACACGTCGCATCCACCAACTCCTGCAGTGTCTCTTTGTTCTTGGCATCCAACAGGATCTGACAAATCTCCATGGCGACGGCTATATTATCCCTCACACATAACCCCTCGTCAGCATTCATCATCTAGCTGCCAAACCCGCGCATCCTGATGTGCCTGGACCACAAACAAAAAAAGACAAGAAAACATACCTTCCTCCCCTTCATCAATACAATAAAACAAGACATTCCTTTGTTTCTGTCCTTCGTCCTGCCACAAGAGCATAGTGGGAACGTCGAGGTTGATGGCGTCCGAGGTCAGGCTGAGGGTCCCCCAGACTTCGTCGTACGAGGGCGAACCGAGGAGGGTTTTGCGCATGATGCAGATACCGTCGATTTGGTGAGTTGTGAGAGTCCCTTCGGGGGGTAGGACGATGTCTGCTGAGGTTGTCATTTTGGTTTCTGGTTTTTTTTTCCCCCTTCGTGCTTTCGGGGCTATACGGGCGTTATTCTTGGAGTTTGTTTGGATGTGTGTGTGTGTGTGTGTGTAAGTGTGCTGAGATTAAGAGAGAGAGAAAAGAAAGGGAGTGAGTGGGAGAGGGAAAGCGCGTTTATACCTACCTAGCTACCTTGTGTGTCTGTTGTTGTTGGTCAACAATACCAAGGAATGAGACTGGATGACTCCAGTCCTTCATGACTCTCTCCTGAGCAAACCAGAATCTTCCTGTTTGTTGTGATTGTTTAGTTTAGTTGGGGCATGCGATCAGATGGAAAAACTGTGAGCAAGCAAACGTGAGAGGTCTTCTTATTGTGGCGTGTGGGCAACAAAGAACTGTAGGAGGAAAAGGAAGTATCGTCGTGCTTCTTGGGCAATCTTGACGACGAGACGAAACTTAAAGGAAATGACCAGTGGCGGATATCATGATCAGGGCATGTCTAGACACTTGAGTGAAGTGCAGGAACGGCCATGGACAAAGGGAACCAAAAAACAATGGGCTTGTCACAAGTGACCGACTGAATCCCTATTGTGGATGATGGATGTTCTGAGAACAACAGGAAGCTCTAACAATGGATGAGACCTGCAGTTTAGTACAAGCCACTGACTGCATGACCTCTCACTTTCGTCTTTTGTCAAGATGAACAACAAAGAAGAAGGATGAGATGTGATCCTGTTACCATTCCATGAGCCACGATAAGAAGACCCCGGAAGTTTTCCGACGTCAAAAGAAGGATGGTTCATAAGACCAGTGACCAGTGACCAGGATTCTCGGGCCGTTCCGAACCAGTTCCCGACTACGACCCCGAGCTGGAGGAGTCACGTCTCCGGGTACAGGTGTAGAACGGCGAACGAACTGGCCACGACAACGTTTAAAGTGAGGATTTCAGACGCTATGTTCTTCAGATAATACTTGGAGGCTAAGGTGTCACTTTATGTTCCTGGCCTGGCGAGCATCGGTGTTGCTGGCTGGAAACGTGCTTGTCGATAGGTGCGCAAACCCTGGGCACAACAGCCCAAATTCCGGATGACATGTGGGCAGATTTTCTTTGCCGTTGGAATTCAAATCCATATTCAACTTCAGATCACCCATAAAGGCTGATTGAAGACGATCTTCTCAATAAGGACGACCAAGTGTAATTGAAGTAAGGCGTCGAGGGTCTGGAAGTGACTGTGATAGGGGCGTTGCCCAAAATGGCCAGAAACAAAACAATCTTGGCACTGGTCAGGGCGATGCATTACATAAGCGAGCTTTGCGGGTGCGAGGACCCACCTCTGGCGCTAGGCTGTTTCTAGCTCGCGCGGCATTGCTCAAAGTGCTTGTCGCGTTTTTGACTGCAGGCGATCGCAAGGTGCGCCCACCCACCCAAATTCACCACCCACTTTCACGGGCGCAACCACCAATTCTCGATAGCGTCCACGTCTGCATGACGTCCTCCGACTTCTTCAAAGATCCCTTGAGAAACTCGAAATTTGGACTGACTTGATTCGAAGTCGCCGAATACTGCGTCTTGATTTGCTACGAGGAACCACTACTAGACTAGTTTGCTGTACCATCAAACAGCTTGCACTTTCGATCGCAAACAAGAAGAGGAAGACATCCCTCGGAATCAACCTCGAACGCAGCTTCGTCCAACCTGCATCGCGAACTCTGCATCATCGCCCTCCCTCGCGTCCACTTGCGACTTCGACTTCAGGTTCCGATTTGCGACCACCAATCGGCAGCGTTAGGAGACCCAAGTACTGGGCCTCTCTTCTTTTCCATCCAAGTCTCCCGGCCGTCATGAGATTACCATAGTCGTCGAAAATCATAAAAATAGCCACACGAAAACACCTTCCACAATGGCGCGCTCCGAATCCCAACAATCCGTTTTCTCTTCTTATGCGCCAAGGTTACGCACCTACAACAATTCCCTCCTAACACCCGTCCTTCCCGGCACTGCTCCCGCGAACCCACTTTCGCGCACAACGAAGCGCGGCACTACCATCATCAACTATGCCGAGGATGGCTACGACGATTACGACGATGACGACGACAACACCCGCAGCCGCCGCCGCCCTACAGGTCTCCGCAGCGTACAGCCCGACGACGGTACTGTCAAGGCCGACCCGGCCGAGAAGGTTGGCAAGGATACACATGAGCCCGTGGAGGTACAGGGCATTTGGCGGGATTGGATGGGAAGGTTTCGCCAGGGTCGATCCGACCAACAGAACTTTGCCCAAGCCAGCCTTCCTCTCACACTGATCCCCATACGGATTGACCTCGATATCCCATCCTACATTCCGCCCCCGTCTCTGCCTCCGCATGCTGCAAGCCTGGACCCCAGCAGTCCCCTCTTCAAGCCACAGGAGCCCACCGTCCCATATCGGTTACGCGACACGTTCCTCTGGAACCTGCACGAGACTTTGATTACTACTGATCAGTTTGCGACTGTCCTGGTCCAGGATTTAGACCTTCCTAACAGGAATCAGACCATATCCGAGATCAGCAAGCAAATAAGGACACAACTAGAAGAGTACGCCGGTGTTGCTCTCCACCCTCTCTTCCACTCCCATCGCGACCGCCCAGCAACCGAGGTTCCCAAGCCCACGAACCTGCTCGAAGCCGCGACCTCAACTTCCAATACCCCAGCAATTAACGGCAACGCCGTATCGACACCAACGCCCGCCGCCAATGGCACCTCCGCAGTCCAAACATCCACTGGCGAAATTAGCGCCGCCGCAACCCCGATCCCCCCAGACGCCGACGACTTCAGCCCCGACGACACGTACCGCTGCATTATCAACCTTAACATCAACCTCTCTTCGCAAGTCTATACCGACAAGTTCGAGTGGTCGCTCCTTCATCCTCCAGGGACCGCCGAGGCCTTTGCCAAGCAAACCTGCGCCGACCTCGGTCTACACGGCGAGTGGGTACCCGCCATGACGCACGCCATCTACGAGGCAGTACTCAAGCTCAAAAAGGAAGCATGCGAGTCCGGCGGGCTGGTAGCCGGCTGGGGCACTACCTCACTGGGTGTCGGTGGCGTCGAGTTCCCCAACGACGCGGCCGTCACGGCGGGCGGCGAGGGCGCCGGCTGGCGATACGACCCGGAGCATCTGGCGGAGGACTGGGAGCCCAAGCTGGAGACGCTGTCGAAGGAGGAGATTGAGAAGCGCGAGGGCGATCGCGAGAGGCAGATCCGCAGACTGCGCAGAGAGACGGCGCGGTTCAGCAGCAATACTGGCATGGCGGGCGGCGTGCCTGTGGGCTTCGGATTCGGTGGGCTTATCGAGCAGGAAGAGGAGCGCATGGGACGCGGGGAGAGAAGCAAGAAAAAGAGAAGGTTTAGAAGTCTGTCGCCTACTAGCGGTAGGCACACCCCGGATGTTGGAGGCGGAGGCGGCGGTGGCGGCGGCGGCGGCGGCGGCGGTGGTGGTGGGTATGGGGGTGGTGGAACGCTGGCAGATAACGAACGGAACAACTGGAGGTGCTCTTGCTGTAGGGTGTGGGGCACCAGTGTTTGGGCGGTTCGGGATGGGCCTTATGGACCGAGGGTGAGTGATCTGTTTTACTTTCCATGTCATGAAAGAGTGATGATGCTAACGAGACGGTGTTACAGTCACTCTGCAATAACTGCGGCTTCATTTACGAGCGGGATAGGAAACTGCCGAGGTGGGCTAGGAACCTGCACGCCACTGATCCCAAGCCTCTGTGAGGATAGCATGTTTGAAGGCTGGAAAAGTTGGGCGCAGGAGGCTACTGTTTGAGGATGGCATGTCGAAGATGGAAGGTCCTATGGTTCCAAGACGATTTGGAGACAATGTGCATTGTATCCAAGCTATCTGTCTGACATGGACGGTGGAGCTTATTCAAAGTTAGGTGTAGGGGTGTAGAAAAGGAAAGGAAAATTCCAAGCAGAGGAACCGGCGTCAGGCGAGGTTAGGATAGGGTAGGAGAAGGTTCAGTTGTTTTAGCTTTATGTGTTAGCTTTATACCAGTTTTGTGCTCCGACACCTAGTTTGTTTTCTTGTAGCTCCCGCAAGCTCTGGCTTATGTATTACTTGTCTTTCACGCCATTCTTAACCCAATAACAACCGGTGTCGTGAAAGGTAGCAGGGGCCATGTCATGGCCATGATCGAACGAAATCAAGAAAGTGCAAGGTGACAAAAGAGCAAATTTGACTTTAAATCTATCAGTAGTCTACCCTTCTCAAAGCAAAGGTAGCCCAACATCAACGTGCATTTATTCTTTCATCGTTTCAAGCGATGCGATCTCACATTCTAGATCTCCCTTCTATCTGTCAGCGCAACCTAACTAAGCCCAGCCTGTCAATTAGCGACCCATTAGAAACGGCGAGACTCAACAAATGATCGACAAACTTCGAGAGGGGACAGGATGGGAAAAAAAATATTAAATGGAACGTGACAGCCGGACATCAAGGAAACACTTTGAAGTTGACGACGATGAATTGTTGACCCCCCCAAAAATGTTAAAAAGTATGGACAATACCGGATTCGAACCGGTGACCTTTCACAAAGGCGCATCGAAAGCCAACAATGCGAAGCGAAAATCATACCCCTAGACCAATTGCCCATTGGATGCTTATTGTTAGAATCTACGTGATTCCAAGCTCTCATAAATGCCACGTCCTTCCAACAACGTCTCACCTGTTCAGCGGAGCAACTACAACCACCTCAGACTTCAGTTACTGGTTTACCATTTCGGACTCCCCCTCCTCTCTCCCGTCTGTCTCGAAAAAAAAAATGACGGAACACTAAATTCGCTATCTGGTTAGTCAGCGCCGAGGTTAGCACTTTGATCAGGTTGGAAAGGTGGAAGGAAGGCGAAAGCGCGAGTGGTCCAGAGATGGATGATCAAGATGATGATTTGGTTGAGATGAGGGCCAATACATGGATAGAATGAAGCTGTCACCAAAGATAAAAGCGGTCATCCGTCCGTGTGGTTGTTGTTTTTGTTTTTGTTGTTGGATTACAGTTTAGAGTAATGGTCACGGTGGCTAATGTGTGATCAATTGCTTTTCCTTGTTGGGTTTGCTACTTGTAGGGTATGAAGGATTCGAGTAGACGGATCAAGTGGAAAGATATGTTCGTATTTAGGGTCTCCAACTCCCGAGCAACAAAGACATCGGGTACCGTCAATCCGTCGCCAAGCGAATTGGACTAGGTACCTCATACTATCTTGGCATTGGAGACTTAAGGCGTGTTCGTTACCACAGTAAAAAATTGAAGGGTATTCAGATTTGCAGAGTTCGGGTCGTAGTAAGCATACTGCCTTACTGAACTGCGCAGTGTTCGGTATTTCTCAGTAAAAATGCTTAATTTTCATGCAAGTCGCTGCAACCACCTGCAACCATCTGCACTTTCTCCAAATCGTTGATTTAACCAATCAGAGGGCTAGAATCCTCTTAATTCTTACCCGTTTTCCTTACTGCACTACGCCTCGATTTTGAGCCGTAGTGCAGTAAGGAATTCCGTTAACCCCTTTTCCCCCCCCCCCCCCCCCCTTTTTTTTTTTCTCAAAGGCGATAAATAAGGCTATTCCCAATTGAAAACTACCATTTGGGAAACACAGTGTTTTTACAGTATATATACTGTAGTGGTTGAAAACTAAGAGTGTGGTGGTTGAGAAGAGAAGAATTGAAAAGATGACAACGGGGGTGGCATTGGTTATATAGAGGTAGAGTTTCCGAACACAGCTCAATAAGAGCAACGGTCTTGGCGTGCTTTAAAGCTGCCTTAACGTTGCAGCGTGCAGCTGCAGACCCTGCACAGTAATGCAATATTGAGGCTAAATTTTTACAGCGGTAACGAACATGCCCTTAACAACAGCTTATCAGATCCCACGATGAAGTCCTTGAAGAGGTTACTCAACGTTCCAGCCCAATATGTGATGCTACTATCTGTCGACTGCATGTTCTCGCAATGGGTGATGGCGACTTGCATATGGGCTTGGGAAGGACAAAAGCGCTTCCACTTCGCACCCCATGATGGATGATGGAATGGATGGCATGTGCTTTGTGCTATTTCTGTACGTATAGTTCCCGACACTTTGGAAAGAAGTGCGATTTGCTCGAACCTTAATGACCAGCATCAACCGAAATCGCTGCGATGATGGATCAAAACGGCAAGTCAAAAGTGAAGGCGACGCCATATCGTCTTGGCAGGCAATGAATGATTCGAGGCCGATGAGATAGGGTTGTTTGCCCATGTCATGTGCTCAAGGTTGGAGGATAATTCCATACCTATCCTGCATCTGCTGCATTTGGTCGGATTACCCATTGGAGAATCACGCCCGGTCGCCCGAGGTCTTAATCACCTTCCTAAAACTGTCGTGACTGCAACCCCGTAAGGGCGCCGATTAATGAGGTCAGTTCTTGGCGGCATTGCAACATGAAAGATGTGGTGGCGGCTTCTCATCTTTCTCGGTATCATTCAGCTGTTTGTGATACCTTTTGATCAATTGGGAGAAAAAAAAAAAAAAAAAAAAAAAAAAAAAAAAAAAAAAAAAAAAAAAAAGCCCATTGCGATACAATAGTGGGAAAAGAGGGTGCGCACGAGGTTGTGCAGTGGCGGTTTTCTCCTGATTATGCGATTCCCCTATCACGACCGTTGGTGGCTTCCAGTCCCGTCCTCATCCCGTGTAAGTCGAATCCCTGTCTCTCCAGAACCTTATCTCTATTTGTGGCCAAGGACCCCTACGCTAGGTGCTGTGGCCCTCAAATCTAGCCACGACTTCGCTGATACTCTTGGTGGCGGATCATAACTACATATAATCAGTTCACCAACCTTTACCCACGCGAGAAGGTAGGAACTCATCAGTACTTCAATCCGGGGAAAGACTGTGGGAAGATAAAACTGCGCCTTTGATTCGCATCATGATGAACAGCTAAGACGAGAGCGCGTCGTTGTGGTTTGGTGGCCCGATCAATGTTCAAGCTGGTGCAACCCCATAGTCTTGGTTGCTATCGCAATCATGGACTGGCATCCAATAACCAACATCAAAAGCAAAAGAGCCAAGGTACGCCAAGGGGCCGAGAGACACCAACGACGAGAAACAGACCGTAACCTCCTCCCCGCTTGGGTCCTGATATCGTCTTTGTTCGTTGGGGGCTAGATGCGCTGAAGAAGACTTAATGGGAGCTAGTTCGGATACAAGTTGGGGACGAAGGTCTGGGTTAGTTGTTTGTCGATATCAAAGGCTGGGCATTTTTGGTTCAGGTAGGTCCAAGACTCCAAGGTGATGATCCGCCATGGCATGCGGTCTTGGCCACGTCCAAGCTTAAATGGCTCCATTTAGATCTTTGTCTTGGCTCCTTCAGGTTGCGGACAGCGCCCCCATGTCGGGGCCCTTGTTTGGTTCGGGTACTCTTATGCAAGTGCAGGCTGCGTGTCGCCGAATCAACGAGGGTGAGAAGTTAAACAATATGTCGTGATACCTTTTATATCTGGCGAGTACGCGATTGGTGGTTTCACTGGCGGCAAAATCCATCAGAATTGATGTTGCCTTCCATGTCTGCTTGGCCTATCAAGCAATGAAAAGGAGTGAATGGATGGAAGGAAATGCAAGGGAGAAAGCGGCACCTCGGTCTTGATCGAGATCTCCAAGTGGTCTGGAAGCTGAGAAGTTGGCGTCTGCAAAGAAAAGATCTTCTGGCACCAATATTCCTGCCTCATGAGACTGGGAAAGAATCCCACGTCGTTCCTTCCAAACCTAAACAATGAATCCCAGGTACGCAAGTGCAGACCGACCCTACAAGGCAACGTAGTGACGGGAGGACGCCAATGTTCTCCTGAACCACCAGAATATTTGTCCGGACATTGTCACTCCTGAACTGCAGTTTGGTCTAGGCCATCGAGCTAAATTACCTCTACCTACCTGCCCTTCTCTGCTGAGAATTAGACATCGGGTAAGTTGTGAGCGCTTCTTTTGCAACGTCTTTTCCTCTTCATGTGACACTTTGGTCTTATGCACCCTTCAATGCTCTTTCCCCCGCTTCCCCAACATCTTTCACTAAAATGAACTTAACCTCTTGGCGGGGATCCAGAAGTGGAAGTTGCGAGTGAAGAGCAATGATGTTGAACACGGAACCTCTTGCGACTGAAGAACTTGAAGTGTGTCTGGTTGCGGAGTGTCCCGTCTTCCGTCAAAGCTTGGACATCCCCACAGCTCCAAGAGCTCATGCAGTCCCGTCAAGTCGCAGAGCATACCACTACCTCCGTTTACTGAACACATTCTCCCGTCATCTTTGCACTGCACTCTTCACTCTTATCCTTGCAGCCTCCATCTTCTCTGGCATGTCATGATATCTCCACAAAAATCGATCCGGACAATGGGTAGCTAATGTCAGGCAGGCCATTGACAATCATCTCGCTCCCTTACCACCAACCGCGTGAGTGCGAGAACCATGTTTCCAAGACGGCCCTCCCAGCCGCCACCCCACCATGTCAATCCGAGGTCTTATCCTTTTGTCACTGTCTGGGCGTCCATCACTGTGAGCCAAGATGCAGCGCCCAGACGGGCTGATTGCCGCAAGGGTTGACAAGCATGGGATGCCTCCTCCAAAAGTTCAACAGCTACCATAGCTCACGTTATCTTCCTCATTCAGAAGTATCTTGTTCATACATTCTCTTGGCCCGCCCGTCTGGGAAGGTCATTACCACTGGGCACTCACACCATTTGTAGAGAGGCAAGGCCAAGATAAGCCAGTCGGGAGTCTTGCAGCATACAGGAGTACAGCTTCATGTAGGTGCTGTGAGGTTGAGGTATGTGGCGTGCTTCCTCAAGGGGTTTGTGATACCACGTATAGAAAGGAAGATATTAACCTCTTTCCCCCCTCGTCTGTGACATGCAGCCATCCTTCACGTCTTGAGGACTGCCTATCCATACCACATCTTTCAGCAGTACAGCAGCCTCATCGGCGTGTATACCGCACGTCATGGCGACCACCAGAGATGAGAAGACAGTGAACATCACCCCTGCTGGGAGTGATCAAGCTCCTGCTTCCCCGATAAAGTACGACGAGAAGATCGACGGCATTCATGAAGTTGGCCTTGACCGTATGGACTCAGAGGAAGCACAAGTTCTTGAAGGGTAGGTTGAGTCTCTTCATCTCCCCTTGGACCCGTATCAGAGATTGACTATACAGACATCTTGATGTTACCGAAGAGGACCTCCTCCAAGCAAAGGCTGCGGCCGAGACCCTCAGTCTCGAAGAAGTTGTCAAGTTGATGAAGAATGTGGTCAGCATGCATGGACGCGATCCAAACTTTCCGCACGTGGTTCTTGAAAAGATCCAGGAATTCCTAGGTGAGTGTCTCCTTGTGTAGTCCATAGCCAAGCCGTCCTCTGCTCTGGACTGGTCTGACGCGTCTACAACACAGCCAACGAGCAAAACATTCTCTCGAATCCGGAAAAGTACGATGATATCATCACCGAGATGAAGATTGAAGCTGCTCTCATCCAGAGCAACAGTCCCTACGCCGAAGTGCGCGCCGTTGTCGACAATACCGATGACCCTTCCACGCCGTGCTCAACCATTCGTTCGTGGACCATTGGCATCTTGTTCTCTGTCATTCTAGCCTTTGTCAACCAGGTAGGTGCCAATTCCTTTTTCGAGACCCCGCATGCTTTCCCATGGCTGACCATCATCGCAGCTCTTCAGTGTGCGCCAGCCCAGCATTTCGATCGAATCCAACGTTGCTCAGCTCCTTGCTTTTCCTCTCGGCAAAGCCTGGGAGATGTGGATGCCGTATTACGAGTTCACTCTCTTTGGAACCAAGCATAATCTCAACCCGGGGCGGTTCAGCAAGAAGGAACACATGTTGATCGCCATCATGGCAAACACAGCCAAGTCGCTGCCCTACACGCAGTACATTGTGTGGACCCAGGTGCTGCCGCAATTCTTTAACCAACCATATGCGAACAGCTTTGCGTACCAGATTTTGATTGCGTTGAGCACCAACTTCATCGGCTATGGCCTTGCTGGTGAGTGATAGTCTTCCTTATGCGAGATGCCAAGGGGCTCGAGTGATTGACAATAAAAAATAGGTATCACTCGCCGGTTCATCGTCTATCCATCTTACTGCGTCTGGCCCGCATCTTTGGTTACCATCGCCCTCAACTCGGCTCTGCACCACGAGGAGAATCATATAGTTCCTGGCCCGTTCAAGAGGCTGTACAGAATGTCGCGCTTCAAGTTCTTCATGTGGGCTTTCGGCGCAATGTTCGTGTACTTCTGGTTCCCCAACTATCTCTTTGAGGCCTTGACATTCTTTTCTTGGATGCAGTGGATTGCTCCCAACGTAAGCCAAACCCACTTGCTTCTGTGGCGAGAAGTTAATCTAACTTCTGCAGAATTTGAACCTGAGCATTCTCACTGGATTCCAAAACGGCACTGGCGTGAGTGCTCCCTCCCGATTTCAGCAATGAATATTGTCGCAGTGTCTTGATACTGACTGCGCGTAGATGTTCAACCCCTTCCCCACATTTGACTGGAACGTTTTGCTTTTCGATTCCGTTGACCCTCTTGTGAGTCCTCTTGCAATTCCTATTCTTCAGATCCATACTAACCAATGCCAGATGGTGCCTGCTTTCACCACGTTCAACAAAACCTTCGGCATGGCGTTTTTCGGCTTCATCATCCTTGGAATTTGGTACACTAATGTTTGGAATACCGGTTACCTTCCAATCAACAGCAACCGTGTGTTTGACCACTACGGTAGTCTGTACAACGTCTCGCGAGCCATTGACGAGAAGGGCATGTTCGACGAGGCAAAGTACATGGATTACAGCGCCGCATATCTTTCAGCGGCCAACGCCATTGTGTATTTCGCTTTCTTCGCCATCTATGCGGCCACCATCAGCCATATCATTCTTTTCCATCGGGCCGAGATCGCCATTGGCTTCAGGAACATCTGGAAAACTGTGAAGCCAAAGAGATGGACAAAGAGAAGTGCTGCCGGAGAGAGTGTCGAGGAAGAGGATGTTGGGTACAAGGACGTGCATAACCGTTTGATGGCTGTTTATCCCGAAGGTGAGGACCCATTCCTGAAAAGAGGGCGAGAAAAGGTTACTGACAAGAACCCACAACAGTTTCGGAACTGTGGTACTTGGGCTGCCTCGTGATTGCCATGGCACTTGGCTTTGCTGGTGTTGCCGCCTGGCCCACGTATACCACTGCTGGTGTCGTTCCCTACGGCCTGTTCCTTGCTGTAATTTTCGTCATCCCTATTGGCATCATCAAGGCTATGACGGGTATCGAAGTCACCTTGAACGTGTTGGCCGAGTTCATCGGTGGTGCTTGGGTTGAGGGTAACGCCTTGGCCATGAACTTTTTCAAATCCTTTGGGTAAGTCGTGTCCCTACAATTTTCCCGTTATCAGCTTTCAAAAGGCTAACCCTCCACAGATATGTGACCTGCGCGCATGCCATCAGCTTCGCCAACGACCTCAAGCTCGCTCACTACATCAAGATTCCTCCTCGCCACACTTTCACCGCCCAGATGGTGGCCACGCTCATTTCCACTTTCATCTGTACCGGTGTGCTCAACTTCCAAGTCAACATTGAGAACATTTGCCAGACCAACGCGCCCATGCGTTTCTTCTGCCCCGGCATCAACACCTTCTTTACTGCCGCCGTTTTGTGGGGAACCATTGGTCCTGTCAAGGTTTTCGGAATTCACGGCCAGTATAAGTGGCTCCTTCTGGGCTTCCCCATCGGTCTCTGCATTCCCGTCATATTTTGGCTCATCATCCGCAAGTTCCCGCGCAACAAGTTCATTCGTCAGTTCCACCCCGTAGCCTTGTTCTATGGCGCACTCAACTGGGCGCCGTACAGCATGAGCTACTGCTGGCCAGCGGTCCCCATTGCGTGGTTGAGCTGGATCTATGTGCGGAACAGATACCTGGCGTTCTGGTCCAAGTACAACTTTGTGTTGAGCGCCGCGTTTAGCGCGGGTATTGCGCTTAGCGGTATCGTGATGCTGTTCTCGGTGCAGTGGGCTAGAGTAAGCGTGGAGTGGTGGGGTAACACCCAGCCGTATAAGGGCTGTGAGGATACGGCTTGCACGATCAAGACGTTGTCCGAGGGAGAGAGGTTCTTCCCCTGGTGGGACGCGAACAAGGTGCCGGCCCCCTAAGCTGGTGAAAAGGCTGTGATGTTGTGGATGGGGGTTTCGTAGCTTTTGCTAGCGGCGGATGTGGGAAGAAGGGGTTCTGGGCCTGGTTGTGTCTGGAGTTCGGTACGCGGAATGGCTGATGTTATGTTTTTGTTGATGATATCCAACTGTGCTTTCGGTATCAGATTTATAGTGGTTGGTATACGGTAGCCTATACCTAGTCAATAATACTCGTTGTATTGATGACATGACCCCCAGTACCGTTGTACCGGTGTCTGTGTATATGCAAAAAGGAAGTGACAATATCCAAGGAAGGAAAACCAAGGGAGAAAAATCAGAAGAAGAAAAAACAACGCCCGCTTATAACTTCAGCACCACCCATACTTTTCATTAGCAACCCACTCGACATCCTCGGTCCTACCACCCTCCATCCCCTCAGCCCCATACCACATCAAGCTGGGAATGCTATCCATATCCCTCTCCACCATCTCGTACCCGCCCTCAACCCCGGCTTTCTCAATCAACCGACTCACCAACGGACTCGGATTCCACATCTGCACATCCTGCACCCTCCACTCCGCCGCCTCCCGTTGCGCCACAGCCAAGATCGCCCGGAATGCTTCCACCAGATATTTCTCTGTTTCTGGGTCCTCTGTCACTTTTTGCAGGGACTCCTCGTTCCCCAGATCCTCTACCCCTTCCATGACGAAACGGAGAATATGCATGTGATTCCCTTCGATACTCTCGCTTTCCAATCCCCGGTAATAAGAGCGGGTCCAGACTGCCCAAACTCTTTGCCCGTTTCTGTTAGGGCAGCTATAGATAGCCCCCCGCACGGAAGGGGTGCGGTGGAAAATGTGTTGCGTCATGAAGTCTTCGCGGAGTAAATGCCAGAGGAGGCAGTCCAAGTCTGGCAGCAAGGCGACGTGGGTTTTGGAGGGGTTGGAGCGGGCGAGGGTGGGGAGGGTTTGGGTGAGGAGGTGGGTGGTGTCGAGGGTGCAGAGGGGAGGGAGGGTGTGGTAGCTTATGGGAGAGAGGTTGGGTGGGAAGGGAGGAGTAGCGGGGGAGAAGGGGGATGGCTTGGATGAGGGGGATGAGGAGGATGAGGATGAGGAAGAAGAGGATTTGATGGGTTTGAAAGAGACGTGCGCTGAAGGAAAGGCCTTCCATCCGTTTTTGGCATAGAAGGATTTGCCTATGTCGGAGTAGAGGACTGAGAAGAGGGTTGTTGCCTCTTCTTCCTTCCCCGGGGTTTCTGTTTCGGCTTGGGTAAGGGGAGGAGAGTCAGGCCGGTCCTTCTTATCCGTGACTTGCCAAGTGCGCAACCGCTTGCCCAATTCCTGCATCATCCTGTTGGCGTATCCCTTGCCGCGGTACTGAGGGTCGGTGAACACGGAGCCGATGCCGTGCGAGATGCCTTCGGTGAGAATGACGCGGTCGGAAGAAGGGTCGTGGCGAGCGGCGACGGCGTGTTTACGGAGGGTTTCGCAGGAGGAGAGGATGGGTCGTTGGTTATTGTTTTCTGCCTGAGGGGAGTTGATGTCGGTCAGGATCCAGTGCGTCAGACCACCGTCTTTGGCGAGCGGGAGCGTCGTCATGAAGTGTTCGCGCGCGAGGTACTCGGAGTGAGAGAGAGCGGGTCCCCACATGGGGTGGGTGAGAGACCATGTTTTGGGACGCTCGTCTTCGTGGGCGAGGGTGAGAGTGAGAGAAGGTGAGGAGGCTGAGGGGAGGGAGGCGGTGGGTGTTGTTGAGCCCATTTTTTTGGTTGTTGAAGTCGTGAAGGTGTTGGTTGGTCTGGGTACTGCTCCCTTTAGGATATGATGTGCTTTTTAGTACTGTTCAAGGTTGTTGAGCAGGTTGCCGTCAAGGTCCACCATATGAAAATGAGAAACGGAACTGAGGTTGTCACGGGTTCCTGACTGAGTAGGTATGTCAAAGAATATGCCGGACGGTGATGCTTGGCGGACGAGGACAAAGAGGAGACCTAATCAAATTTACCTCCCGGAGAGAGATACACGAAAGAATAAACATATAAAAATAGGTAATCCCAGAACAACCGATAAAGAGGAGGGTCTCAAGATAAATGTAAAAGTCCGGGGTCCAAAGTGGAAACACTTTTGTTTGGAAGCTTCCACGAGAAAAACGAAGGTGTGGGGTCTTCTTTTGGACAAGATCGATCGTTGGCATGGTGACCTCGAACTGTGAAGGGAATGACCCCAAGTGCAACCAAGCGGGTCCATTCCGCCGGGAGAGCCCCCAGTGAAACCCCTGTCGCAGCCCTAAAACCTGCCCCTACAGCAGGAACACTAACACGCTATTGGTCACTCGCCAGGTCACGATCGATTCTCTCCGCAGCAGGTCCCTTGGCGGGCAGTCCACAGTGAGCTGAACCATCATGCCATGCCTACCAGTGCTGGTGCAATATGGTGTTCAGGGATCCCCTAACAGTGCGTTAACAGTGGGCTCGTACACAATTGGACAAATCCACGTATTCGCCAACAAGCAGCGACATGGAAGCAAGAGGGCAGCGTCACATTTTGGAGAATATGTACATAATGGCGGTAAGCAAGACATGTTGTGAAGCTGCACTTGTTTCGCCTAGTATCGGCTTTCTTTCTTTCTGAAGGGAGACAGTGACAGTTCCGACGCCCGGAATCCACTCCGGGATGTACTTTGAACCTCTCATGTGACCGACCATCTTAGGTAACAGCCTTCCTGCTGTGCAAGGGTGTCCGTCAATTGATCAATGGGGAGGCCTTCTGACACGGCATGACTGTGATTGTGCTCTGATTGCTTGTCCAATCGAGGCCTGGGTCAAGATTGTGGCATCAACTATGTGTCGCGATACTTGTGGTTGAGTCGAGGGACAGCGGCTCATGGGCGATAACGAGCAGATAAGGGAAACGGTGACGGTGGGCCTGTACGACCCACCTTTTTTTCAACGACATCTCTCCTCCTCGGGTCACTTCACTTCGGCCACATCATGAGCTTCCGTGGTGGTCGTGGCCGACCCTACTCCAAAACATCGAAGTTCTGGAATCATTACCATCAAGCGGGGCATTTGTTGTTCTCAAGGTTTTTCTTCTGGACTAGCATCGAACGAAGTCAATCACCGCCATGCTTTCCCTTGCCTTATTTGTGTTTTTTTTTTTTTCCTTCTTTTTTTTACTCTTTTTTTCTTCTTTTCTTTTTTTCTCCCGACGAACTGTCACAGATAACCTGCTCTCCATGGTATTCCTTCGTCCTGATGTACTCAGTTTCAGTCCTCAAGCTACTACTCCAGAACCTTGTTTTTCCTCCACACCGATCTCCGTGTTTCCCTCCCCAATCCCTCTTATTTGGTACCTCTAGCAAGACTTGGACAGTATCTCCATGTCACGTAACATCCCTTCCGGGTTCAAAACCCGAACTCGAAACGGCCGCGGGGAAATAATATTTGCATTTGCCTATCTCCATCTTTGTCAAACATATAGTGTTCACGAGACCCCTCTCCCCCCATTCCAGCTGTTTGGGTCCACCTCAAAAGCCCGGCTTCCGGTACCCCGCCAGTGGCTAGGCGCCGGAACGCTTGTGAAGCCGGGTCGGTCAGAATGCCGGCCTGGGATCCCGGTTCTTTTTTCCCTTCGGAAGGAACGGAGTCAACGATCGTGGTGTCGCGTATGGCAATATGCAAGGATGAGAATAATCCCAACCAGAGACTCGTCATAATTCCAGCTATTTGCGAATAGTGAAGCTATCAGAAAGTTGATTAGCCGTACACTAAGTAGCGGGCTTCTCAGTTCAATTTTCTGGCTGCCTGCGGTTACGTATGCGCATGATTGTGCCTGGTTTGGTGGTGTTTGTGGAGATGGGTGGAAAAGACAACTTCTTGGCATCATGGCCTATCTGTTGATTGATGGTCCAGTGGCCAAGTTTTTCGTTCTTTGTAAGCGCAAAATGGCAGGCGATGTGCTATTTCTCAGATTTTGAGCATCCTCATTTCAGTGTCACTAGTTTTAGGCGACTGTTGATGCTCAAACTTGCACAAACTGCGAGTGTCCTTTGCGTCACGAACCTTGACCACTTGGATAAACTGTTATCCTTCAGTTCCTAGGGAGTTCCAGGTATGACTGTATTACTGGTGTCACCGCTAAAGTCGTTTGGCTCATAATCAGGGACTCCAGATCCAGGTTTAAGCCTTGAGTGGTCATATGTATAAAAACCCGTCCTCCCATTCACCTATCCCAGGATGCTGGAGATTCTCTCTTCTTCCACTCAACGTCAACAGTTCTGATTGCCCTTGCGATAGTAAACCTTGACTCCAAAGAACCTTTGGACAGCGCTGGCACATTTTCATCTCAACGCCACGAAGGTGTTGTTGCTATAGTGATGGGCCACTGCCCCGAACTCCGTTACCGTATCATCATCTCCGAGCCGCTGTAGCGTATACCTCTTCCCCCTCAGTGGTTTAACTCGTGCCTCGTCTAGCTTAGGAGACGTATATACAATCGTTACATTCACTACAGCTGCTGGCTTATAAGCTTGTTCTCTCTGTCTATGTTGTCTCTGCTTGAGTGGCAGCTTGGAGTCATAAAAAGTTGTCCCTGGTTGACGTCGCGAACTGTCTCTGGCCAAGGTGCTAACCCAGGCTCGCATTAGCTCAAAGTTTCGTCGACGTCCAGGACCCTTCACTTGCGTGGAGTTTGGCGTCCTATTATATATTCTGTGGCTCAACGGCCATTCACTATACGCTACCAATGGTGACCAAGGCCAAACCTGAGGCTGTCATGGCCAAGCTTTTCGGTGAAGGGTTCCAAACTCGGGGTGGATTAAACCGTTATAAATATCTCTTGTATCCACGAACTTCCTCCCAGTTTTTCCTTCTTCCTCCATCGAACATCGATCTTAGACTTTCGGTCGACTCGACAACTTCTCAACTTCGATCACTAGTCGCAAGCTAGTTATTATCAAGCCACGCAACCACAACACGGTCACTAACTTTATTACCCCGTCTTCTCATTCAATCGTGTCTTATCACCACGACGATTCACAATGTCGTCGACAAAAGTCGACAGCAACACTGCTGCCGAACGCTGCCAGGCTTCATTATGGCACGAAATCAAGGAATATATAGAGGCTTCGGTGAAGAAAACCCATATTCCCACCACAGTTCCCTTCGCCCATTGTTACATTTGCCTTGGAGAACTGGACATCTGTGGCATTCCTCTCGTCGGTACCGCTGAAAAAGCTCGCGCCGGTTGCTTCCTTCCTTGTGGGCACTTCTTTTGCATAAAGTGTTGGAAGGCTTGGATCCGTAAGCGTCCCGAGCCGACCAAGCATTACATTGGCCCAACGATCCCCATCCCTCGTGCTGGTATTCAAGGTGAGCCTTTTTTCCCCCTGTATCCATGAATCATCCATAAATCTGTCGTTCAATTTTTACAAGGACTGGACTTGGAACTGACATTTTCCTTTCCTAATTCACACAGAGAATCGCAGTCTCACGTCAATGGACCTCGTCAAATGCTACGAGTACGGCCAGTCCAAGCTATACCGCAGGTTTGAGTGCCCAATCTGCAGAACCGATCTTCACCACACGGGATGCTGCTGTGAGGTTCGACCGGCAATGATTCCCACCAATCAGTGCGAACAGGGTACCGACGTTATCATGGCGCTTCCTACAACGTACTTGGAAGTCCATAGAGATGCCCGCGCCTCTCCCGTCGACAACTGCATGACAGAAAGCGAAAAAGACGATAGGGACGACAAGCAAGACAGGACGGACGACGATTGTGGCCTGACAGACAACGAGCAGGACGCACTGGACGATGGATATGAGATGGGTGACGACCAGAATAGCATTATCGACGATGAGGAAAACTCCGATGGTAGGATTTATGACCGGACCCGACAGTCCACGAACAACTACTCTTCCGACAAAAGCCGCACTCCCTCACAGTACAGCCAGCAACAGCCCGACGGCTCCGTGCGCAGCATCACTGACAGACCCGTGGTGTATGATATAAATACCATCCCACAACCATCCTTTTCCCCTATGATGCGCCTGCGGGCCCAGTATCTACGTCTGCACGACCCCCGCGGCTGGGACTGCAGAGTAGTAGGCGGCCGTCTGGACAAGATCGTGGACCTTGTTTGTGGTCAGTGTCTCTATGACCTCACTCGATATCGGTGGCTCAAACATAAGTATGACGAGATTGAACCAGCGTGGAAAAACTACAATGCCCACGACTCAACTCTTCCCGATAAGCTGCCCAACGGCGATGACCTACCCGGCGCCGGGCTAAGACAATTTCCCGGATTGTCGTGGAAGTTGGCCGTCATCAACGCATATCTCTGTTTAGACTCTAGCGGGCGCAAAAGACAGCCGACCTGGGGCCGCTGGCCGAGGGAGCTCGATTACATGCTCAAGCAGAGAGGCTGGACTGAGGGTGTCGACTTTGTGGATTGGAAAAAGGCTGAAGCGATGCCTGCCATTCATCCGAAGCAATCTGAAGAGACTCCAGGAGACTTGGGGGTTGTAAATCGATTCCTCAGCCGCCTCTGTAGCTTCTTCACTAAAGCCAACAATGAAGAGACTCGCGACACTGAGGGTCCAGACGCCGAGGATCCTGAGACCCTAGCGCTGTCGGTTGACTGGAATCCGAGCAAGCGCGCCCTCGACAACGGCCTCCGTCTTTGCGATATGGAAGGGATGGGACCATACCCCGACTGGGACGAACTCTTGGAAGAGTCGGCTTGGCGCGCCCACGGAATCAGCAAGGTCCCTCGAGACCGGTGGGGCCAAGCTTTCGGTCGCAAGGTGCAGGATCACGTCTTGGGTGAATGGGTGGAGGGACATGGTCATGTCATTCTCCAGACTGACAAGTTCAGTTTTTGTTCGAGGCGTAGGCTGCGGTCCATGCAGGGTCCGCGAGAGGCAAGCCGATCTCGTTGTTCGTTTTGGCAGAGCGTTACCACCCGTTTTATTCGCGTTCACATCCCTTTTGCTATAGGGCTTGCTTTGGCTTTATTCTCTGTTCTGTATGTCATGTTTTGTCATGGACGCAGATCTCATGGGGATTTGTAACCTCGGAGGGAGGGAGACTGGACGGAGGGATTACTGTACAAGACCGGTCGCCCCAATACAGTTTCTCAGGACTGTTAGAAATTAGGGGAGGACATCGTAACACCCACAATTTTGGCCCGAGAGTCAACCAGTACAACATATATAGATAGTGTTATGTACGAATTTCCTCAGTGACCGGACCAGTGCATACCGTACATGGGCCGCGCTCAGTTGAATCCAGCTGAGTCAACCCAGACACAGCACAGGGCAGCCAACTACTTCTAGGTAAATCTACCTCTCCGCAGGTCAAGACGCCCACGGCGGTTGGATTACCAAGCCGACTTGGGGTCTTTGGCCCCAAGAACTGGACCCCATGTTGAGGGCCCGAGACTGGACGCTTGGAGTCCAGTTCGTCGACTGGAGAGAAGGATCCAAGAATGCCGAGGAGAGCCCAGAGACGGACCGTGATTGGACTCCCAGTCAGCAGTTCGTCAACAGCGGCCTCAAGCTGTCCGATATGGAGGGAATGGGGGAGTATCCCGACTGGGATGAGCTTCTCGAGCAGCCGGAATGGCAGGCTCGCGGCATCAGCAAGGTTCCTCTCGACCACGGGGGCCACGGTCCTGGACATGTTATGGGATGCTGGATAAGGAAATACTTGAGATTGTGTTAGAGTTTTCGATTACGGACGGTTTGCTAAAAAAAATCGAAACAAGTTTCCATATTAAGACTGACTGGGGATTTTGAGCTGTTTGGTAAATTCGTACTCTACTCTTGTAGATAGGTCTGAAAGGCGCCCTATCTCGACGGGTAACCGAAAGATGTACAGAACCAAAGGAAAAAAGAAAGACGGAAGGGGGAAA